AAAATAATATCCAGTCAAAGGAATAACCTACACTTCTGGTCTAAATATTTTCAATAATATGCGCATATTAAGACGGAGATAATAAATAAAATGACTAATCGTTATTTTTCTTATTCCTCTAAAATTTGCAATATGCATTGTAAAAAGAATTTTTGTTAAAAAAATGAGAATCTACTGGAAATCAATCTTAAGTCTCATTTAATATCATAAAGAGTATAAATGGAAAATTCCTTTAAAAATACAGAAAAAGATCTTAGGAGACTCAGAAATTTTACAGTAAAACTGCATATATTAAACATTTTCCAGTTCCAAAACGTCACTGGAAATAAACCATTTCTGAAAAAGATGTGATGCAAAATTTTTCTACAGAAATTCACTGAGAAAAACCATTTTTTTTTTCGTTATTTCTTAACTCGAAACTCGATTATATGCATTTAAAGAACTTACGTAATTTAACAATGATTCTTATTTTTCTGTCTGTCTTTTTACAGAAATTTTTTTAAGGGAAAAATATAGGGAATAGGGAACCTTTCCAGATGCACATTCAAATATTAGACTATTTAAAAGTCAAATATAGATACTGAACATGTATATTTTTTCACATAAAATTCTATTTCTGTAGCAAGAAAAAAATATCCTCTCCCAGAAATGATCCTCAAAAGCCTGATAAACCCCGTAGCTCGTTGTCATATCTAGCTAATATCACCGCTTTTTAGTCGGACAATGCCAGCCATTAGGCACACAAGTGTAATTGGTGCAATTCACTCAATTGTGTACAGGCCAGGCACAAAGCAGCCCCGATCTTCACGATGGAGGACACTTTCCAACCCCACATGGGACACCTTTTGTTGGTCACAGTGTCGGCTTCGACTGATGTTCGACATCGGGCATCTGTCGTGGAGTATGTGACATCTCTGTTGGTATAATGTTACCGACAAAAACCAACTGTACCACTCCTTGTGATACTTATTTTTTTTTTCATTTGATGAATCTTGTCGTTTTTCCTAAAGGTGTACACACAGATTTCTTCGGCTTAAGGATGGTACAGAAAAGAATCTTTAATGCATCTTTCAATTGATAAAGCGGTTTAACTTTAACGGGGAGAACATTTCCGCGTTTATGGTAAAAGCTACTTAAGAGTGTGATTTTCCGACTCGTCTCTTCAGATTTGTCAGAAGTCTTATTGGGGATGTGGAGTACTTCAGAAAGAAAAAAAAAAACTGAGTAACCTTAGAAAATTAAACGGTTAAATTCAATAAACTCCTTGGAGAAACATTTCGATGTTTCCAAGAGACAGTAAAATGAAAATTGGGGCAAGATCTTATTTTAAAAAATTACACCAAAAAATTCTTTCATTATTCATTAGTTTAAGATCTATAGAAAAAGAAAAACTAATAATAATAATAATAATATATATATATAATTAATTAAATTAAATAATTGTGTTAATAGTTCTCGCTGAACTGAATAATGCGTAACATTCTATTCTTCAACATCAAGGAACTCAAGAATTAATGACTTCATCAATAACATTTTGTTATCAGAATTTTCTTTAAACATTTATCTAGAAAGTGCACAATTCCATTATCGTTTCACGCAATAGTTTTTGAGTTATAAGACATTTAGACATAAGACAAGAACGCTCTGCTTAAATTTCCTGAAACAGCGGTGATGGTTGCATTAACTTTCTTTTAATACAAAGAGGAAGCTTTGATTCTTTTGAAAACATTTTGATTTAGAATTACTCAATTCCATACTTTGACATTAATATCATTGATTAGCCAATTATAATCAAATACAGATCAATCTTACTTTGAATTAAATTAATTATACCTGAAAGATTTTTGTGAACATTTTTTATCCCTTTAAAAATATCTTACTTTTTACTCCATAACTTAAACTAAAATCATTTGGATGTGCATTCGAGTTGCAAGTCAACCTGTTGTTTTCGTTTAAAAAGAAAAAATGTTTCTTTAAAAAAAATTGTAACTGTCGTGAACTTTTAAAATTTTGTCAGATTTTTAAAATTTTTAGC